GAGGGAACAGGGTGCTGGGAGGGCAGAGGACAGGGTGCTAGTGGGGACAGGGTTCTGCAGCAGGAGACAGAGTGCCAGTGGGGACAGAGTTCGGGGAGTGGGGACAGAATTCGGGGAGTGGGGACAGAAATAGGGACCGAGTTCTGTAGCTGGGGACAGGAGAGTGGGGACAGAGTTTGGGGAGAGGGGACAGGAATGGGGACCGAGTTCTGTAGCTGGGGACAGGAGTGGGGACAGCATTCTGTGACTCGGGAGAGGGGGCTGGGGAGTGGGGTGCCAGTGGACGGAGAGAGTCCCCTGCATCTCCCTTCTCCCAGCATACTCCCCCCCTCCCCAGGGAAACCAGCGCGCGCCTGCCCCGGGGGCCAACTCCCCCACCCGCGCAGGGAAGCCCCATGGGCACTTGTCCCCACGCCAACCCCCTCCGCACCGGGAAGCCCCGCGCGAACGCCTGCCCCAGGGCCAACTCCCCCCTTCTCCCGCGCGTGCCAGGAAACCCCCTGCATGCTTCCACTAACTCACCCCTCCTGTGCGGTGTAGGGGGCCGGCAGAGCAGCTAGCGCACTTCTGGAATTGCCAGAAGTGGCACTAAGCTGTGGGACTTCTGAAGCCGACATTACCTCTTGAGGTAAGTAGTGGAGCTTCTGGGGGGGTGGGAGGGAAATGGGGGCGGGGCGCACAGGACACCACGCGAGAGACTGGTCGAGGCCTCGAGATCGACCAGTAGCTCGCGATCGACCTGTTGGTGACCACGGCATTAGCCTCTAGCCCCATGTGGCTATTTGGCCTATTGAGTGTGGCTAGTTCGCTACAGAAGTGGTTGGACACCACGGGATTAGTCAGTATTCAAAGCTATCAAAGGGACTCAGTCATCTGCACCTCAATTTTTTTAAGCCTCCCCCCTTTAAGGAAAAAGAAAAGAATGATTGGTACCTGTATTTTATCTTCTGGAACATTCAGCCAGTGATTAAAGGCCTGTGACAGTTTGGTTCTCACTTGCTTACCTATAAAAAAAATTAAATATTGATGAAGGAAGTTCCATCAGATCTAATACACAAAGTATTAGAACCCCCGTTCCATGCCTTTATTTCTGACTACTGCTATAAGAACCATGGGTACAAGAAGAATGAAGCTGATTAAGTGTTCCCAACAAGTTTGTCTTAAGAGGACAGAAGTACTGTGGGAAGTGGGAAAAAAGTAGACTACTTCCATGAAACAAACATCTTGTGCGGTCATATCTGAGGCTACATAGAAACAATGCTACACTACATACTGCTATAAATTATAGTTAGACATTGCTGCAATTAAATTGGTGAAATGATTTAGTTGACCATGGTGTATGCAATTTGTAGCTGAAATCAGTCAGCAACTGACAAATTTTATACATCTAAGTTGGTCAACATTAAGGATTTTTTCAGATACATAACAAGAGTTATAAAGCAAGGTTTCAGAGACAGATCATTTAATTATCATATTTGCTAGTGCACTGAAGGGATGATAAATAAAGCATGACATCATTTGCAGATGGCCCTCATACAATAAACTGGTCTTACTTTTCCCTGGCTAACTGCCATCATAACAGTCTTTATTCCAGCCAGGACAACAAAATGGAGTATTGTCTTATTTCTGTTTGTCTGCGCATTGGAAATCCACTAACTAATTCAATAAGGTTTATTGGCACCAGAAAGATGAGCAACTGGGTAGCAGAAGTTTTCTGATGGAGCCAATACCAAAGAGATCTTAATGCACATTTTGAACAGATGGAGAGAAATTTCCAAGTTTAGACAAAACAGAGCAAGCAATCACCTGTTTCTAAGATGAGACAGATTTAGAGTTCAAATTTCACTTTAAGCCAAATTAATTACTTATTTTATAATAAAGCAGGAAAATTAAATTTAAATATTTACAGGCAGTCCCCGGGTTACGTACAAGATAGGGACTGTAGGTTTGTTCTTAAGTTGAATCTGTATGTAAGTCGGAACTGGCGTCAGCCACTGCTGAAACTGATCAGTTTCAACCGCGGCTGAATCTGGATGCCAGTTCTGACTTACATACAGATTCAACTTAAGAAACCCAGGCGTCCCCAAGTCAGCTGCTGCTGAAACTGATCAGCGGCTGATTCCAGGAAGCCTGGGGCAGAGCAGCTGGGGTGCTGCTGGGTTGCTCCAGTAGCGCGGCTCCTCGGCGCTACTGG